AAAAAAAAAAAAAAAAAAAAAAAAACTCTACTAATTGCTAGCTAGCATGCTCTAACAAGAATCAAGTTACATAGCTTGAAAGACTTTGCAACTACCAAAAGGAAAATTTAAGGTATCTTTTTATTATTTCTTTAATTTATAGGGCTGAGAGACCTATAAAATCCCTACAACGTGTAGATCGATCTGTTAGTAAGTAAGTTGAGTAGTTTTTTTTTTTTTTTTGTCAACATGTTTGAAGGACAATGATATGAAATTACATTAGGTATAGTGTGACTTTTTATTAGTTGATGTGAAAAAAAGACATGTTTTGCGGAAGTTTGCAGGTGGAATGTCGGATATATACTTTAAAGGCAGCATAGTAAGTTTACAATATGTTCCACTGTTTTGCTCCAAATTAAATTAAAATGGTCATGGCTACTCATACATCACAATATATATAATTATATATAGTGTGTTTTAGTAAATTGAGAAACCAAGATTACTGAGCATAATCTTTTCTTTATTTTTAATTTACAAAGTTTCCCTTGTGTGTTTTACAATGTCAAAATAAAGGGCCATTTTGATTAGACTAATATATAGTGGTTAGATTTTATGCATATCATTTGACTTTTGTGCAAAGGAATTTTTCAACATAAAAGAAATGGTCATCATGAGTTTAATTTACCTTAGAACTTTAAAGCTATGATCATATGAAATCTATTTCTTCCTTGATCCTAAAATACTTGGAGATTATTAAATATCACTCTTGTCCTTGAGAATTCATCATCTAAATATAGACATATATAGTTGCCTATTTAATCCCACTTCATCTACACCATTCGTACGTATAAATGATATTTTACACAATCAAGCTAAGGTAAAAAATAATCTGATGATGTAAAAATTATTTAATTGTCCGTGTACAGTTATAACTTCAATTCAAGTTAGAGGTACATAATGGCTTCTTCCAGTAGCTACTCCAACCCTCCATGTGCAGCTTGTAAATTTTTGAGAAGAAAGTGTCTACCAGGTTGCATCTTTGCTCCTTATTTTCCACCAGAAGAGCCACAAAAATTCTCGAATGTACACAAAATATTTGGTGCAAGCAATGTAAGTAAACTCCTCAATGAAATTCAAGCTCACCAGAGAGAAGACGCGGTTAATTCTCTTGCTTATGAAGCTGAAGCGCGTATGAAAGATCCAGTTTATGGTTGTGTTGGAGCTATTTCAGTTTTACAAAGACAAGTTATACGCCTTCAGAAAGAACTTGATGCTACCAATGCTGATTTGATGAGATATGCTACTAATCAACAAAGTAATAATAATTTTAATTATGGGACAAGTCATGATGATCATCATCAAACTAATTATGGGTTTTCTCCTAATACTACATGGAACAATAACCCTGAAGCAGATGATGATATACAGTAGCATGTGTAATTCATGTCCCAATTATCTACTTGTTTAATTTGTGTGATGCTATATATATATACATATAGCTATTGGTATATTTAGTTACTTGTCGATCATTTTTATTAATTGCTCCCTTTTGAATGGGCGATTAAGTGCATCTGTATTGTACAAAAACTGAATTATATGTATATGGATGTTATTTGGGTATTCATGCTAATTCTAAGTTTGTATGTGCCAATCAATTTTTCATATATCATTAGGTTAAGTTGACATACCATAACACATAAAGTGTACGTCTAGACAAGTTTAAATATGATGATTTTGAAGAGAAAAAAAAAAAGGTACTAACTTGTTATAATTGGTTAAATTAAATTGATAGTGAAAATCGTCTTTGCATTAATAGTATATAAAGTTACATACAATGACATACTTATTATTTTTTCACTTGTCCTAATAAAACTACTAGAGATATATAACTTCTTCTTCTTTAAAAAAAAATTAAAAAAGATAAGAGATGGATATTAGGATTATCAATAAGGATTATAGTGAAACCTTAAGATTTATTCATTTTTCGTTAGAATTTCGGATTCTAAACTGAAATGTTTTATCTTGACTTCAAATTTAATCAGATTTTGATACGAATATCAAATATAAAAATACAAAAACATAAAAGAAAAAAGAAGAAGTTTATGATTGCGTTTGCTTTAACTTTAGAAAGGACGTCCTAGTTATCTTCCACAGAGAAGTGCAGTAGTGGCCCATTGCTAGCAAAGTTCAAGACTAGCCGTCAGAATCTTGTACACTAATAAATCATCCCAAAAGCAATTTTGTTTCTTCTTTTAAACATCTGTCCTCCTCTTTTTTTTTTATTATTGTATTACTCATAACTTAATTAAATAATCAACCCTCTTGTAGCAATGACTTGAGATGTGTTTGGTACGAGCAAAGAAAATAAGTGAAACTTTTACTTTATTTTTAGTATTCGATAGATAAGCAAAAAAATTTATGATTAAATAATAGCTATATCAATAAGAGCAAACCTCGTCTTTACTTCATTCCTCTTTTCATTTCTATCGAGAACGCTATGTCATATGATGATATATTTAAAAGATCTCACTAAAATTTCTGACTATATAGTATGATGTGGATTTTTATCATACTCAGTGGCGTAGCCAGAAATTTCACGAAGGGTGTCCAAGAATTGCATAGGTAAAAAAAAATAATTTAACGATGGGTGCACAAAAATTTTGAAATCAAACTACGTAACATTAACAATTAATTTTTTAAAATCAAACCACATAAAATTTAGCTTGAATTTTCATGTTTATTTAATAGGAAGTGAACAAAAAGAAAAAGAGAGAGAAAATTCAGTTTATAATGAAATCACTTTTATACTTCAAGATTTCACCAACCTTTGGTGAATTAACAACAATATATGCAAAATAAAGAGTAAAATCAAACCAGTTTTTCTAAAAAGAAATTCTATATAGAGCCATTTTCAACTTTAGTAGTTTTATAGAAAAAAAAATAGAATTTGCTTATTAAATTTAAATTAAACAATTACTTTTAAATTTTATTTAAAATTTTAGTGAAAAGAAAAAGTGATTAAAAATTATTGTTTACTATGTTTTTTTTTTGTTATATTTTTAAGTTGTAGGTCTCTAATTTGAGATTATT